TGGAGTGTTTATTAATAGGATCAGGTTATTTCCTGGTATAGTGAAGTAAAAAAAAAGAGATCCTAATCCTTTTGTTTGTCAACTGGAAATTTACGGACACATTAGCCTATTCTCGTGCCATTATTACATGCAGCATTTTGGTCTATTTCTGCACGAGATGAAAACACGTTTTAATAATTTCTTGGGTCAGAAAGAGTCGGAGTTTGCGATATGTGCCCCCCTACCAGTGCGTTCTCTGCGCACTTCACATGCGCACTTCAGTAAGCACGAAGTACGCGGGTTAATGTGTTTTAAATGCCGATAGAAACAAGAGCAAGGGCCAAACGTCTAGCTGAGTCGATTATACTTATGACTTGACTCTGATAAAGGAAATGTTTACATGACCACATGCATTGTCAAGTTTATTCAACATAATCAGGTTAAGAACGTCGTCGCATGTAAACGCGCTCTTTCTCTGAAAGTGAAAGTAAAAACGGACTGCTTTCGGCATCTGCATTAACGCCGCGTTCCCTCAGAGACGACGATGATAACGGTAACTATAATACTATTTTAGTGATATTATTATTAATACTATTTAGTAATTGTATTGTTTTTAGTGTTAGTGTCATTAAACGTTTTGTTAATGTGTTACAGAAACAAATACTGACGAACAACGATGCCGTTTTCATCTTGGATCTGTAGGAAATTGAATTTTGTGTCTGTTAAAACGAGCACACTTGATAATTTGTGAATGGATCACCTTGCGATTAAATTTTGATGTGGGATGTTTTTTAGTCTGTTTTAAAAACATTCTCTTAGAGGAGTCCTCATTAGTGTGTGTGTTGTTGCAATTGTTGAGGTGATGTCGTTGTAAATTTAGGCAAGGCAAATTAATTGTAGTTCCTAATATTCATTTAATAACAATACTAGCTTTATAATAATAATAATAGGCCTAATAATAATAATAATTTAATACATTATGGTAAAACGAGCCAATTATCGTATTGATCTCGTCAAAGGCATCTGCCATCGGCGATATGTCAGACTATCGTCGATACACGATACTATCGTCTTAGTATCGGCACAACCCTAATGTGGTCAGCATCTCGGGTTTCTCAAACTCCATATCTGTGTGCTGTGAGTTTGTGTGGCTTATAGTGTTCATCTGAATGCAGTGTGTGTGCTGTTTCACAAGATTTGTAATGCAACTCATTTGTAAATCTACACCAACACAGGAGAATTCATAAATATCTTCCTGAACTATGCGATTTCAAAATGAGTTTTCATGTTTTGACGTGCATATGCAATTGTTCAAGAAATTACAGCAGCTGTTGCTTCTCCATTGTACAGAAGAGACCAATTATTAAAGATTAAGCTGATATTTGAATTAAATTTTGTTTGTTATTAAACAAGGATTTGATCATGCCGGCCATTGGTGCTCTCTGCGGGCATTTTTTTACGTATGTAGGCTACATAAGTTATCTTTGTATTAGTTTAAATAATTTTTTACATGGTGTACTTTAACAGCGTTGTTCAATAAAACCAATATGATTACTTTGATACTTTATTTGAGCACAATCAAATTTGACAAATCTTCTTTTTATATGTAATATTGTAGTGTTTATTATAAATGATTTATCTGTGCACTTAATTTATTTTTTTTTAAATGCACGTACCCTTATAATCTTTAATCAAATACATTACCCTTCCCTCCCCCCTCAAAACTACCTCTTCTCTTTCGGTAACTTGCCATGGCGAAAGGGTGCAGCCAGATCCGATGAGGGTGCGGCTATTGGTGCACCGCCTCTCTGAGAATCGCAAATTTTCACGCACCTGCAGCATTTCTGACAGTGACAACAGAGAAAAACAGAATAAAATGATACAAATATGCGTGCCTACATTTGAAATGAACTCGTGTGCGCAAAAGACGCGATATGTGAACAGGCTCTTACGCGCGTTGCAAGTTGTGGAGAGACACTGGGAAGTTTTGATTTAAGTCTGCAGCTACTCAATTCAGCACTGCAAACCAGCGTAAAAAGTAGCCTAAAATGACGCGAGACAATGTTGTTGGCCTAGTCATTTGTTTTGTTCCAGTTCATTTGATAAGGAGTCATTTCACTGTGGCCAATTTAAATGTTACCAGCTAAATGAGACATACTGGGAGAGTATAATTTAAAGGAGAACTCCGGCACAAAATGAACCTTTGGTCTAATAACACATTGGTTTAGTCAACCGTTCTCTGATTTGTTTTCATGATAATCGAATGTAAAGAGTTTTATCTCTAAAAACTGTTCAGCGTATAACGCTAGTAATGGGGGCATTGACTAAGTAAAAAGAAATCGCTAGTTTATACCACTAACAAGGCTCAAAATAGCCCCACACTAACACTGAAACATAATGAGGGTCCCTACATACAAAACGAAGCATTGAGAACTTTGTAAGTGTACATGCCGTTTAATAAGAAGATACTTTATAAAGACAGTTCACTTCGTATATACAGACAGGAGCCATCTTAGAAAGACGTCTCGATAAGTCGAACCACGAACGTCGGGCTGAGTGATCTGAACTGTATGAAGTTCAGCGAACTTCTGAACTGTATGAACGGAGTTCGGGGATCGACTTATCGAGACTATTTTCTAAGATGGCTCATGTCTGTATATACGAAGTGAACTGTCCTTATAAAGTATCTTCTTATTAAACGGTCTGTACACTTACAAAGTTCTCAATGCTTCGTTTTGTATGTAGGGACCCTCATTATGTTTCAGTGTTAGTGTGGGGCTATTTTGAGCCTTGTTAGTGGTATAAACTAGCGATTTCTTTTTACTTAGTCAATGCCCCCATTACTAGCATTATACGCTAAACAGTTTTTAGAAATAAAACTCTTTACATTCGATTATCATGAAAACAAATCTCTAGGGATGCACTGAAATGAAAATTCTTGGCCGAAACCGAAAAAGAGGAAACCAAGGCCGAAAACCGAAACACCGAAAGAAATTATGCCAATTATTAGTTTCATTGCATTTATGGCTATGACTGTGTACAAACGTTACTAAAATCAATGCATTGCAATTGCATAAATTAATATAACATTTTCAAAGAATAAATAAATTATAAATTATGCAAATATTTATTTAGCACAATGCACAGTATAAAATAAAATTCAAACTAAAATGTTTTTGACCCCACTCATGTGTACATTAAATAATAATCTAATGGCCCGCAGAAAGGTTTTAAAATTAAATGTTCTCTCATAAAAACAAAGCCGAGCGCGAACTTCATCACACCAGCACCCAGTTTGCACGTCTAAATTAGTTTCTTACATTTTAAAAATTTAGCATATAATAGCATAAAAAGCCTTTTTAAATGAACAAAGGTCCATGATTAATACAAATGTACATGAAACTTAATGAAACATGTTTAGTGAATGTAGAAAATATTTAAGAGAGCATTAATTTAGTTCTATACATGTTCCCATATATATTTTTTTGTAATGTCACAAGTAATAATCTAAGGGTTTACTGGGTTTTACATGATTATTTTTGTATTGGTGGTGTTATAGCCTACTAAAAAATAAACATTGCCATGTGTTTCTTTCTTCTTCTCGCCGATTTCTAATGGTTGGAGGACAGTTACTTGAGTCGTCCCCTGTCGTTTCAAGGAATAGTACAACGGCGAGCGGGTCCAGTATAAACGCCTCGACCGTTTGGAGCGGTTGCGCGCGCTGTCTGTGGAGACGTGAGCGCGAGTCTCCACAGTTTATACTTGACCCGCTCGCATCCGGAGTCGCCGTCATGGCGGCGCGCATTGTTTAGAGCAGATATAGGTGGATAAACAAGGCTTCCGTCTCCTCGCGGGTTCAGATTCACTGAAATACGTCCGCACCGCAGACTTGTTGCTTCAGACTAACACGTGCAGGTCGCGGTTTCTGTTTGCGTCATCACAACATTTCGGCCGTATTGTTTCGGTGATAAAAGTCTTTCGGCCGAAAACCGAAAATGCACTTTTGGGCCATTTTCGGCTGAACATTTTCGGTGGCCGAATATTCGGTGCATCCCTACAAATCTCAGAGAATGGTTGACTATGTACCGATGTTTTATTAGACCAAAGGTTCATTGTTCGCCGGAGTTCTCCTTTAAGTTCGTTTGAGTAAAACTATAGGCTACTACTAAGATATTTTATATGGGGAAGGGGGGTTGGTTTGTTTAAACTATGAATATGTAACAATAGTAATAACAGTTGGCATTGATTGACGCCAATCGGACGTTCACGTTCAAGTAAAAATCGGGATACTTGAAGTATCAGTGCACCGTGCAACGCTATTGTCCATATGATTGTTTCTGAGTAGAGTCAAATGTGCTGGTGTTGTCAAAAGTACAGACTTCGGTACCAAGTCGATACTGAAATTTAAAAAATCTGATGTCGATAGCATTTCCCTTAAGCATTTTGAGCGCTGTTAAACAGATTCTTAAATGCCTCTGGTTGGCCATTGTCTTCACGGGCACAACATGGATGTCTGAGGATTGGCTGCAATGATCAACGCTACAAAAACGTTGTTTTCACAGAGAGCATAGACGGATGCACACGGGAGTGGTTGAAAGCAGGCGTCTATCAGTGGATTTACTGTTTTATATTTATTTCTTACAAGTTGCAACCAATTATCTGTGATAATGCCAACATCAACTTATCAGCAACAACAACAGCCATATCAGCAGCTTAACAGACGGTTTTCTTTGACGTTTAAAGGAATGGTTCACCCAAAATTGGAAATGATGTCGAACCAGACCTTTATGACTTTCTTCTGCAGAACAGAAAAGATATATTTTGAAGAATGTTCGTAACCAAAAGGTTTTGGTTACAATCGACTTCCAATGTATGGACAAAAAAACTCCCATATCTAAATATTTTTAATGGTCTGCAGAAGAAAGCGTGTAAATGAAGGGATAGTTAACCCCAAATTGATTGGTATATTGGGGCAGCCTCATATAAAAAAAAAAATGAAATGCGTTTCTTTCCCCCCATAGATTGCTCAAGGTCAGGACTGTAGTTTTCGACGGTTTGCAGTGCTGGAGTTCTCCACACCTGAGATGGCTGAGGACGTGCAGCGGCTCACTGATGGGAGATCTCTGGGTGGGACTCGTATACGTGTGTCTTTCTGCGCCCCTGGACCACCTGGAAGGAGCATGTTAGCTGCCCTCATTGCCGCCCAGACCATGGTACACCCCACACACTAATCATGTTGAAAATAAAATCATTCACAAAAGAGACTGTTCTGCATTATGCAATTGAATGGTAGCTTCACTTGACGGTTTTGTTTAAAGCAATTGCAGTGCGTGATTTGTGTTGTAAGTGTTAACTTATTCCTTGCCAATATTAATTTGTTGACCGTTAAGTGCTAGGGATTTTGGTTTTACATGCTCAATGTCGCCCTGTACGTCTGCAGGCCTTGAACCGAGGGAAAGGTCTCCTTCCTGAACCTAATGCCATACAGATTCTTACTGGCCTCAATAACCCTGCCACGCTGAAGATGATGATGGCGTCCCTCAACCCGGGACATAAACAAGGTGCTTATTCTAATTGATTTCCTTGTGTATGCTTATTTGTATTCTCATCCGGACGATTGATTTGATTGTTACTCTTCTCTCAATATGCAGGACTTCTGGGAGCTGCGCCCGCCGTACCTCTGCTTGCCAACCCTGCCCTCTCAGCTGCCCTCATGCAGATGCTGCTCCAGAACCAAGTCCAACAGGTACTGTCAATCCTTCGCTCATCCCCTGCCACTGTCCCAGTAGCATGTGTTCTAGCCCTCTCACTCTCTTCTTCTCCCCTCTCAGCAAGCTCTTTTAGGGAATCCTCTTCTTTGGGCTCATATTCTGCACAATAAAGAGTGCAGTCTCCTTCCTTGTGTGAGTGGTTGCTCTGTGTGGGTGTGAGGTGGTTGTGTGCTTTTTCAATAGCTAAACTATTCTTCTGCAGATTAATGATTTGAGTCCAAGTTGATAAAACCCCATTAGCTGCATCTATCAGACAGAACTGATCAAACATGTTTGGCTTTGTGTGCTGTTTACATCCTCTGATTTAGTTGTAACTGACAAAAGTGACTTCATTTTTATACAGTAAAATTCTTCAGAAACTAACTAATACAGCTCTGGTCTTTCCACAGGCTGGATTGCTGAGTGAAAATCCTCTAGCTGCTCTTCCTCTCCAACAAGGCATTAACATGCTGGGAGAAATGTCTCAAGGTATCACACTATTGTAATGGTCTGTTTGTGCACTTATTTATTAGGGTTCCAGACTGCCATCAAATTGGTCGCATATGCGGCTATTTTTTGAGAATGTGTAAGATAAAATTTAATGTGGTCGCATATATGCGAGTGGACGCTTGCGCAACAGAACGCCGTTGTATCAGCTGCTGCAGTCCGTAACTTATGTTCAAAATGAACGTGTAGGCTACATCATGAATCCATTTTCCAAACCGTGTTTTTGACTTATCCTGAATCATTACGGTACGCCTATAATAAGTGTTTATATTTGGACTATTTTATCTAGGGATGCACCGAATATTCGGCCGCCGAAAATTTTCGGCCGAAAATGGCCCAAAAGTGCATTTTCGGTTTTCGGCCGAAAGACTTTTATCACCGAAACAATACGGCCGAAATGTTGTGATGACGCAAACAGAAACCGCGACCTGCACGTGCTTGTCTGAAGCAACATGTCTGCGGTGTGGACGTATTTCAGTGTATCTGAACCCGCGATGAGACGGAAACCTTGTTTATCCACCTATAAACAATGCGTGCCGCCATGACGACGACTCCGGTTCCGAGCGGGTCAAGAGCGGTGCGCGCGCTGTCTGTGGAGACACGCGCTGCGGAGGCAGGCGAAAGTATAAACAAGGCAGCGCGAGTCTCCACAGACAGCGCGCGCACCGCTCTTGACCCGCTCGGAACCGGAGTCGTCGTCATGGCGGCACGCATTGTTTAGAGCAGGAAACAATTAAAAATTATAAATTAGACTCGCGCTGCGGAGACAGGCGAAAGTAAACAAGGCAGCGCGAGTCTCCACAAACAGCGCGTGCACCGCTCCAAACGGTCGAGGCGTTTATACTTGACGCGCTCTCCGTTGTAACTGTTACTATTCCTTGAAACGACAGGGGACGACTCAAGTAAGTTAACTGTCCTCTAACCATCAGGAATCGGTGAGAAGAAGACAGATAAATACATGACAATGTTTATTTTTTAGTATTCCACCACCAATACAAAAATAATCATGTAAAACCCAGGAAACCCTGAGATTATTACTTGTGACATTACAAAAAAAAAATATGTATATGGGAACATGTATAGAACTAAATTAATGCTCTCTTAAATATTTTCTACATTCACTAAAAATGTTTCATTAAGTTTAATGTACATTTGTATTAAACATGGACCTTTGTTCATTTAAAAAGGCTTTTTATATTGTATGCTAAATTTTTTAAAATGTAACTAATTTAGACATGCAAACTGGGTGATAATGTGATGAGAAGTTTGCGCTCGGCTTTGTTTTTGAGAGAACGTTTCATTTTAAAACCTTTCTGCAGGCCAGTAGATTATTATTTAGTGCACACATGAGTGGGGTCAAGTTAAACATTTTAGTTTGAATTTTATTTTATACTGTGCATTGTGCTAAATATATATTTGCATAATTTGTAATTGATTTATTCTTTGAAAATGTTATATTAATTTATGCAATTGCAATGCCTTGATTTTAGTTAAGTTTGTACACAGTCATAGCCATAAATGCAATGATACTAATAATTGGCATAATTTCTGTCGGTGTTTCGGTTTTCGGTTTTCGGCCTTGGTTTCCTCTTTTTCGGTTTCGGCCAAGAATTTTCATTTCGGTGCATCCCTAATTTTATCCCGGGGTCGACTCGGATGCGGGGTTGCCCAGTGCCTGTGTGACTCGCCATAGACCTTAATGGAGAAAAGTAGGCTAGTTCCGGCTGCAGTGTTTTTCTGCAAGACACGTGCAGTTTATTTATTGACGAACGTAGATGTCACGCGCATTGCACACTGATGGTGGAACGTGCCAATTACGAATTCACGAATTAAGGCATAAAAAAACAGAACAGCGTGCCCCTCTCAACATCTTTTCAGCGGTTAGATGAGAGTAATCGCTCGACTGAGGAAAAGGAAATTATTATAAAATGCAGAAGGAGTGTGAGATAGAAAGATGATGATGATAGATGAGTAGATAGATAGATGGACACAGAAGATTATGGTTCAAATGTAAATAGATTGTATATAATTCAAATGTAAAATGCTTAAAATTACAGATTAAAATTACAGTCCAAAATCCATCAAAATCCTGAAATTTGGCAATGATAATTAATATATTACAGGTGTTTATGCTGCAACCCAGAAAAGCTTTTGCTAGCTTTGGTCCATTAAAACCACTACTCATCAGCATCCAATTGATGAATCCCATGGTTTGTAGTAAAAAAAAAAAAGGTGCGACCAAATCAAATGCTGGTGCGACCAACTGAGAAAGTTGGTAGCACCAGTTCAACCAGTGGAAAAGTTAGTCTGGAGCCCTGTTTATTGGGGCAGGATTCCCAGTGTCTTTGAAAACCATGGAAATATCAAAGTTGCTGCACTTTTAGAATCATCGTAAGTTTGTATCTCCATTTTTGAGGGAGCTTAACTTGGTAGCAGTCATTTTACTTGGCTTCAGTGCAAAGAAAGAAAAAAAGGAACTGACCAGTTGCAAAGAACTACTCTAGAGCAGTGACGTGCATCTTTCAGGGGTACTTAAACCTATAAAATAAGGTGTGGTGTTTTCTGTTTTACTTTTTCACCTCCATATTTGTTTTTGCCCAATTCCTAAAGTAGAACTGATCATGTTTTGACCTCATTAAGATGCACTTTTTTTTGTGATTGGATCATGAGGTCATTAAATACATGTGTACATGGGGTCTAAAACGTTTTGTGGTTGACGCACGGAAACCACATATGGAGGTAGTCAAAAAAATGTAGTGGAAACACTAATCCTTCCTGATATTGGTCTGCAGTGAGGTGACCGCTCTGTTCGTGATTTGATTCCTCGTTTAAAATCTGAATTCAAGTGGTCAGACATAATTTGAAACGCATTGTAATGAGTCTTTGCTGGACGCTAGTGATGGGATCACAGATCAAAATTAATATTCAGTCGCTAATTACTCGCCCTCATGTGGCTTCAAACCTGTATCTTCTGAGCACAAATGAAGATCTTTTTAATGAAATCTGAGAGTTGTCCCTCCATTGACAGCTTGCGCAACTACTACTTTCAAGTACCAGAGAGCTATTAAGACAATGTAATCCATGTGACTCAAGTCGCTTCATAAAATTGAGGTTAAACCAGTGAAGTATTTGACATCCAAAGATGATCAGATTTGGAATAAAATGGGTATAAACCGGGGTGATTTGTTAAGATGAGACATTTTATATTGCTCCTCGTCAGTGTTTGACATGTTTTGTCTTATTGACGATGTTTGAGTGCCTTAAGTACTCAAACATCTTATGTCATAAGTAATCTTATGTCAATAATTCCCAAACCCGGAATTTGTATTTGACATAAAGATGAAAGTCTGCCACAGCAATCTGATTTTTTTTCAAATTCATTGTCCAATAATCCTAATCAACTGGGAAAACTAATGTAAAATCCTTGAACCAAAAAGTCTCGATACCATGTAGGGTCTAATGTGCCTCTTTGAATTTATTTTCATTCAGGTGCTATTGCTCCAACACTGGGCTTGCAGAATGAGCCTCTTGGCCCCATCAAACAACCATCCCTGAGTCGACCTCTTGGGAGAGAAACCGAGACCCCAGCCACCCCGATTGGCTTTCCCCCAGCATCCTCTCCTGCACTGCAGGGATTGAGCATGTCCCTCCTAGCTGGAATGTTAGGAGCAGATGGGCCGACTCTACCGGGGGTGAGATGGGTTACTAATGGCTGCTCCTATTTGTGCACATTTACACTTAATGCCATGATCTCCCAGAGGAGAGCTTTGAGGTTGCTTCAATTTGCTGTTGCTTCAGCATGAGCTGTCGTTCAATGTGATTCTAAAGAGTATCTACGACAGGTTTGTATATTCAGATCTTTTCTATTCCTGAAGGCGTCAATATTGGGTGAGCCTCCCAAAGAAGTTGGTGTGTCCCAGAACCCCTTTCTCAGTGCTCCTAGCATATTCCCATCTTCAGGTCAGTCTACCTGTGGTGTTTTGCGCACCTTCACTTTTTCTTTTCTATCTTGTTGCATTTCTTGAAGAATTGTGTTTATTTAGGTGCCAGCAACAGAGCTCACCCCTACAGGAAGAAAACTGCAATTGGAAGCGCGTCTAACCAGCGCACAAACCACAGCATCCACTCGAACTATAGCCTGCGCTTCCAAGAGTCATGCACACCAGAGTTTCCTCTTCTGCACCAGGTTGGCTTAGTTGTTAAGAGGAACTTCACTGAATGTGTGACTGAATGTGTGAACTATCCCTTTCTAATTGGATGTTGTCACCGTTTGTACCCCATCCATAGGACCCTTTGTCGCACTTGTATGAACAGCAGGAGGTTCTGGAAAATGCAGCTATTCCCGGTTACGGTTTGCAGGTACAGCCCCTCCTCCCAGCATTGGCGCTAACAAAAGGATTCTGTTCCAAGTTTGGACTTGTGTAAAATCGTAATTGTGTCTGTCTCAAGCTCTCCAGGCACGCAGGCTTTGGTGATGCAGGGTCTCCTTTCAGCTATCCACCCAGCTCCCCACAGTCTTATTTCAGCTTTGGTGCCCATACCGGCATCCCATCCACCCAGCTCAATAAGGTACTCAAAACCGGCCACTCTGCCAAACCAGGAGATGGGTAGGTTTAGGGGTGGGGTTAGGGATCAGGGGGCGGAGATGGGTGGGTATAGGGATCAGGGGGCGGAGATAGGTAGGTTTAGGTGTATGATCTTGTGTTCTGCAGTGATGACCATCTCAAAAATAAACTTTTTCACGCAACTTTGCTAAAGCAGCACGTTACAGTGGTAATGGGAAAAGCTCCCTGTCAAGTGTCTCTCTCAGCTGAGCAGATTAACAGTGTTTTATTATATATCATAACAATTACTTGGTTTTATTTAACTCTGAAACATAAAGTGTTGAGTTATCTGCTTTTACTAAAAAAAACATACTTTCAGTTAACTTAAATTTTGCAAGTTACCTGTACTTTTAGTTATTACTTAATGCAAGTTACCTGTACTTTTAGTTATTACTTAATTAAAACAACCCAGCTGCATTTTGATTGGTATTACTTGGAATGCACAAAAAGAGTGATTTATGAAAATGAACGAGAATGGTGTTATCAGTTTTAATTAAATGTTCATGTTGTATATTATGTTTTGCATTTGTGAGTTAATAAAAAAAAATTAACTGTAAACTTAATACATTTAAGCTGACGCTTTTATCCAAAGCGACTTACAATTGATATGTCAGAGGTCGCACGCCTCTGGAGCAACTAGGGGCTAAGTGTCTTGCTCAGGGACACATTGGTGTCTCACAGTGGATTTGAACCTGGGTCTCTCACACCAAAGGCATGTGTCTTATCCACTGCGCCATCACCACCCCATAATTACATCACAGAGCCGCTGGCTATTAAACACATGGTGGTGCTTCTTATGGATAATATCCATGATATTGAAATACCGATATAGCCCTGAATCGAATCATAACGCAGAACTTTGAGGTATCGACAAATATTGTATCGCTGGCTGAGAGAATCAATATCGTATCGGGATGGTCTGATTTACACCCCTACTACAAGGCATTACAGCATTGTGTACTGTATGAACGGTCCGTAACTAATAAGGGACCTACACTTACCCCAACCAGTTAATCTCATAATCCTTCAAAAATCATTCAAATTTGGTGCTCAAAACATTTTCAACATGGCTGCTTAATTTTGTGGAAACCATAATATTTTTTTTCAGGATTCTTTAACCAAAGGTTTAAAAGAATGGCTTTCATTTGAAATGGAAGTCTTTTGCAACTTTCTTTTAATGTCATTTAGTTTAATGTGTCCTTGCTGAATAAGTGTTAATTTCTTTTAAACGTTTTTTTATTATTTATTTATTTTTACTCACAACAGTAGTCTATGCCATTGTGATCTCCCTTTGGAAATAAATTTGCAATACATTTAAATCACTTGAGATTGTTACAATCAATTAAGCCGTAATATATTATTTAAAAAAAAAAACTATTTTTGGGGGTGTGCTGTGCAGCTCAACCCAAAGAGCGACACTTGTTTGATTGGAGTTGACACCATGCCCAAGAATCACTTATCTGGATCCATTTTCAAAAGCTCTTCAATCCATTTTTCAGAACTTGCAGTATCTCACAAAAGTGAGTACACTCCTCACATATCAGCAAACATTTTAGTATATCTTCTCAAGGGACAATAAAATATGTCCAAATTGAATTTCTATTGTAGAGTAGTCATTGTGCTGCTTTTATAGCAGTATAACCGAACATACAGCCATTATTGTCAAAATAGCTGGCAACAAAAGTGACTACACCCTAAGGCCGTGTGTCCACCAAAGCGTTCCTCCTCTTCCACTCCTCCATAATGACATCACAGAGCTGCTGGCTATTAAACACATGGTGGTGCTTCTCTGCCTTCTGCTTGAGGATCACCACAGGTGCTCAATAGGTTTCACGTCTGGAGACAGACTTGGCCACTCCATCACCTACAGCTTCCTCAGCAAGGCAGTTGTCATGGGGTTTGGGGTCAGTATGCCAGTCGGCAGTTTCTGAAGGGAGGGCATCATGTTCTGCTTCAGAATGTCGCAGTACATGTTGGAATCCATGTTTCCCTCAATCAAGCGCAGCCCGAGACCATGATGCTACCAACACCATGCTTGATGGTAGGCAAGACACAATTTTCTTGGAAGTCCTCACCAGGGCGTCTCCACACATGCTGGACACTATCTGAGCCACACATGTTTATCTTGGTCTCATCAGACCACAGGACATGGTTTTAGTAACTCATGCTCTTGGACTGGTTGCTTTCAACAAAACTGTTTGCAGGCTTTCTTGCGAACCAGCTTAAGAAGAGGCTTCCTTCTGGGACGATGTCCATGCAAACAGACTTGTTGTCAGTGCTCAGACTGTACTCTGCACGTTGACCTTCCACTTCTGCAACCTCTAAAGCAATCCTGGCAGCACTCATGCATCAGTTCGTTGAAGCCAGCCTCGGCACCTGATGCTCAGCATGAGGACTCGGCTTCTTTGATTGACCCTTGCGAGGTCTTTGAAAACCTCTGTATGACCCTGGCCTGTACTGTAACTCAGTTTCAGGGTGTTAACCAATCTTCTTTGCCTATCTTTGTGGAGAGAAACAATGCTAATTCTCAAATCCTTAAAGTTTTTTGGAAGTGCCATGTTGATCATCCAGTGGTCAGTATTAGATAATTGTACTCAAAGCACAGATTTTAACTAGGGCTGTCAATCTTCCTTTATAATACTATTCGAATTCCATTCCTTATTTTATGTAATATTCGAATATTAAATGCTCAAATGTATCATGTTTATATTTACGACATAACACATTTTTATGGATCGTCAATGCCACTATAGCCTGTGGTTGTTACACGTTCGGCCCACTAGAGGGACATCTAACATTACTACAATAAACGTTTAGGGGCTGTTTACACCTGGTCATATAAATGTGTTTTTGCAAAACGGATATAAATCCGATCTTCAATTCCCGCGCTATATACAGATGTAATGAAGTGCACGTCACCGAAAGCAACAGATTTGAGCTGCATTTTATTGATCATCGGCTAAATTCAAAATCAGCAAAGACGGCAATAAGGGAGAACGGCAACAGCCCTGGTAGTGTTAAGCGTCTGCGACTTACTTTCACTTTGAGGGCTCAGATCTGAGGTGATTTGATCGTCATATCGCGTCGGAAGTTCCAGGAGTCTCCCGCATATTGATAGCGTTTCCCTGATGGCCACAAATTAGTTAAAATCTCCCGGAATTCGTGCATGACAGAGAGGGAGTGAACGAGACCTTGCGAATGTGCCACGCGAAAGCTAGTCCTGCGCTCTACTATTGTTAATAAGAAAGCAATAAGGGGCCGTTTACACCTGGTCACTTCGGAAGTATATATTTATTTTTATATGTATATATAAAAGCAATATTCGAATATTAACTTTAGCATTCGAATAGTATTGATTTTTTTTTTTTCTTTCTTTGAGATTCGAATTATATTCGAATTTCGAAATTCGTTCCAACAGCCCTAACAAAAACGTCAACAAACATGATGAATAGTACATGTGGCTTTGCATGGTTAAACGACATACAGCTAGGGTGTACTTTTGTTGCCAATAATGGCTGTGTTGAGTTACAAGGAGCACAATGACTACCCTAAACAATATCCTCGTTTCATTTCTATAGTATTGTCCCTTGAGTAGATCTACTCCGGTGTTTGCTAAAATGTGGGAGGGGTACTCAAGCATGACATCCTTCTCATCACATAATTCCATATCATCTTTATTACGATTTGTATTTGCATAGACGGCCAGAACATATGCGTAAGCCGAGCCGGCCCAGAAAGTTGAATAAGTGTTTGTTTCTTCAGGCTGTTGGAATGCCTCCAGTGACTCATTCCAGCCTATTTCCTGCTGCACCTGGTGCTGGTATGAAGGTAGGCCATCTTCAGCCCTGATGTCTAGCATCTATATTTGCTCCTTGTCAATTATCGGATCAGTGTGCCAGGAACCTTTCAACAGGTACTCTTCTTGATTTTCTGTCCGTGTGTAGACTCCCATCGGCGGGCAGAAGCGTCTGTTCTCCCGCCTCATCCCGTCTCCAGAGCCCAGTCCAGAGGGTGGCTACGTAGGTCAGCACTCTCAGGGTCTCGGGGGACACTATGCCGACTCCTACCTGAAACGCAAACGCATCTTTTGACCAGCACTTGATGGCTTCCTCTGAACCGCCAGCTTTTAAAGGGATTGCTACTTTAATACCATCTTTAAGTGTGTGTTTGTGTGATAGCGGTGGGCCGTCATTGAGGTCACTTGAGTTTGAGCAGTGGAGGACCCGGAAGCTCAGATGATCGGTCATGGATGATTGCCGAAGTTTGTGTATATATAATTTCAATGTGTTTGTAAATACTTTATTTTTTTATTTGCCTTTTTAATTTTGTTTTTATTTTATTTTTGTAAACCCAAAGAACCATAATGAAAGGAAAGGGTTCCTGTCTTGCTCATCTAAATAGTCATATTTTGTAGGCTTTTTTTTTATTTAGATTTATTTTGAATAATTTTAAGCAGGAAGATTGCCTTTTTCTGCTACGCCTCTTGTTAGTTGTGTATATAGTTGTTTAGTTGTCTAAAAAGGCTTCTCCACTACAAACACTTCCTCTCACACACAAGTGCCGAGCCTTACATGCTTCGGATATCATGCATCTCTGCAACGGATATGGTAGCTGTCTGTTCTCTTCAGTGAGTCACCTGTTTGTGTCTTTATGGGGAGCTCTGGGTTAGTGTTAGTCTCGAAATAGTTTTCCCCCACCACGCACCGTATTCGTGTTGCACTACTTTCCATCCTTTCATCCCATTTTACAGAGTCAAGGTTTTCTGAGCTGATTGTTCAGCGTTGCACTTGGAGGAGATGGATCATGTATATTCATCCTCCAGAATCTGTCCTTTCCTCACCCGTAATGCTCGTTCACGCTCATTCTTGTTGTTCTGCCTGCTTTCACGCCTCTCTTTGACCTCGTTCAACCTGCACAGTTTTGCTGTTGCGAAGCGTTAGCGTCTCGGCCGTCACGTTATGAAGCCCCAGCTGGTTGGAGATGGACCATGGGCTGCCGTTCTCCCCTCTCCAGGCTCCGAGTACTGCTGGAAGCACAGTATGCCTGCTGTTGCTTCTGTGTTTACACACATTCTCCTAGTGTCCTCCGTTAGGTGCCTCTCCACTGCAGACCAGCAGAGGGAGCCAGTTAGCTTTTCAGTTGGCACTGCTCCATGTTTTTTTTTTTCCTATAATTTCTTTTAAAACGAGCCAACCTTCTGAAGCAGGCCGGACCTGTGCCCTAGCGTGACATTTACTTTTACCGTTGTAACTGTGACCATTTTTTCCCCGTCTGGTTTTAACTGCTGTGCCCCAGATGGGAAGAAGCTTCTGCTGACTGGAATGTGATTGACGTATGATTGACTACTTGGTCTATGTGTGTGTGACTTATTAATCTGGTTGACATTTTGATTTGTGATAACACATTACCTCTGACTTGTACTGCGGCTTACGATGGAACATGGAGTTACTCATGTGCCTAAAAACGGCAGTGTTTACTGTAATCTCTCCATACTGTGAGCCTCAACTACATCTGACTGTTTATTTGCAGTGTACATGCTTGAGTTTGATTATATTTCTCTGGAGTCTTGAACTCGTGTTCTTATATTTCTTCTAGTCTGTAATGGTATCGAAATTGCTGCTCTGTATTTTGTTTCCATCTGAGTGAAGTTGCACAGTGCAGTGTCTTGTAAATGATTTTTCATGTGCGATACATGGTAAGAGCTGCTGCTGTGTGAAATGAACTGATGTTAAATGACCTCTTCATCCCCCAATTACTCTTTCCTTTTGTACAGCTCTGTTTTTGTGACATTTGAACAAGTAAATGTTATTTAAGTTCACCTTCATGAAGTTTGTGTGGTCAATCAATTGTGCACATGGACTACATTGTCCAATCTCGCTCCTTAGTCCAGTCATTTTATGAAAAAAGGTTGAACAAATTGCAACAGAAGCAAACTCCACTGATTTTGTATCCTTAATATGTCCTGAGTAAGGAAAAAAAAAGCCCCGAAGAATCCCATTAGGGGAAAGTTTAGAAAAAGACCCTAATATATCCCATTCATTCGCATATTCATTAGTTTTCTCACGTGAATAGGGGAAAAATGTTATCCTTTAGATATCATCTTGAAAATCACTGAGTTGATTACTTGCATCAAGACAAACAAAAAATGTATTACAAGTTTTTCGAAATTTTTTTGTTAACATGGACAAACAGGGCATAATATAATTACATATTAGCTATTTTGCATAATTACCCAAACAGATCTAAACATTGGGTATAGCAGATGAAATTTTTTTTTTTAATCTTGTTAACATTAAGTCTTTTACTGATATATGTCAAGGTCTGATTGGAACCCATTTAGGCTACCCATGAACATTAATACGGGAAGAAGTGATTTAGAAACCAGCCTTTTTCTTAATTATTATGGCAGAGATGGGGTTTGGGCATTGAGGGCATTGTGTACGTAATTAGATTTTTTTTTGATCCAGACACTTTTTATTTCACCTACCTTTTGTCTTCAGCATTCTCCTTACCCATGCCTTTCGTTCTTCCTTCAGACTCATCCATCCCCCAGTAACAGTCCCACTGACCCAGCCCCAAACCCCATCTCTGCCATTATCATCAATAAAGGCTGGTTTCTAAATCACTTCTTCCCGTATTAATGTTCATGGGTAGCCTAAATGGGTTCCATTCAGACCTTAACATTAAGTCTTTTACTGATATATGTCAACAAAATTAAAAAAAAAAAAAAAAAATTCACCTGCTATACCCAATGTTTAGATCTGTTTGGGTAATTATGCAAATTAGCACATATGCAAGTAGATTATGCACCATTTGTCCATGTTAACAAACAATTACAATAAACTTGTAATACATTTTTTGTTTGTCTTGATGTAAGTAATCAACTTAAGACATTGTTAAAATAGTCCAAGTGACTACAGGGGCTCAATCTTAAGTTTATCAAATGACGAGAACACTTTTGTGCGCAAAAAAACAACAAAAATAATGACTATTTCAAATATTTACTTCCTTCTCTATGGGCCTGTAGTCAGTTAACGTAGTGTGATTGCGTAAAGCTACGTCACAAGTAGGCTCACTATTGGCCGACGCTGGTCGTGTGTGATGCGTGTGACGTACAATAACAGAAGCTTACGCTATTTAACTAGTAACCTGACTCGCGCAGAGCGAGAAATAAATACTTAGTTGAAATAAAGTCGTTATTTTTGTTGTTTTTTTGCGCACAAAAGTGTTCTCGTCGTTTTATAAACTTAAGATTGAGCCCCTGTAGTCACTTGGACTATTTTAACGATGTCTTTAATGACTTTAGTGTGCAGGAGCGATCTTAATATCTTAAATATCTTAATTTGTGTTGCGAAGATGAACGAAGGGTTACAGGGTTGGAACAACATGAGGGTGAGTAAATACTGACAGAATTTTCGTTTTTGGGTGAACTAACCCTTTAAAGACGCGAAAGATAAATTAGACCGTAAAAAATAATCATCCAATTTCGGTTTTAAACATGGATTAATACACATCGAGACTATGCATAACCTTATTCCGTTAGCTCAAACAGGGTTTATTTGTCAAAGACAGACACAAGATAGCATTAGATGTACATTACACATCATATGGCATATACAGTATCACAAGAGCAATTCTGTGTTTCTGGGATTAGATGCAGACAAAGCATTTGTTAGATGGCTGTATCTCTTTAAGAAAGAAAAGTTTGGCTTTCATACCACTGTTATTAAAGCCTTTCAAGCACTATACAATTAACCAACTGCAAGAATTAAAGTTAACGGAAATCTTTCATGAGTGTTTATCTTAGAAGGATCATATTGGCAGGGATGTCCATGTTCCCCTCTTTTGTTGCTTTATTTAGAGCCGTTAAGCCAATACATAAAACAAAATACAAATATAAAGGGAATAGACATAAATGATCACTTTTCGTATTTGATAGGACAACCAAACATATCTTTAGAAGTTTTGATGGAAACATTAGTTTTGTTTGGAGATTTATCAGGCTATTAATTAGATGTACAAAAAAAAAACAAGGTCTTAACTTTTAATTGCCAACAATCTAGTTATTTGAAGGGAAAATTTAAGTTTAAATGGGGAAAGGACTATTTGAAATATGAAGGGGTTCAAATACCCAAAGATATCAGACGCCTATTTGATGTAAATTACAAGCCACTGTATTCTACAATGAAATCAGATTTGGCTCGATGGAATATTCTGCTGTTTATAGGCTTATATGGTAAAATTAGAGCCCGACCGATAAAGGGTTTTGAAGACCGATACAAATATCTTTGGTTTTAAAATCCGATACTTTATTTTACCACTACAATTAAAGAAAGAAAAAGGTGGCTCATGCCTTGCCATGCTTAGAGGAATATTATCATGCAGCCCAATTACGACCTTTATTATGTCCAGATTTTAAAGCCAGATGGAAAGAAATAGAAAATGATGCTAACCCTAACACTACCCCAGACCTAAACCTACCTATAACCGAAGCGTGTTATATTGACACGAAAGGGTGCCATGTGCGTCGGATGTAAACTCATGTAGATCTCAAAAGCGTCACCTATATGACACCCTAGGATGAGAATGCGGTAATATTATAGATAATAATATATTCATAGATATAGATTTATTTTAGACATAGATTTTCATATATAATATTACAAGGGGATATGATGACAAGGAAAACAATATTCTATTTATAAAATGGGTGACATGACTAAAATTGTATAAAATTCTAGAAGACAGGGAATTAGAAAATGTCCAATATATTAAAAATAAATGGGAAATGGAAGGAAATCTGGAAATCATAGAGGAAGGGAAAGAGGGAAAGTGTTCTTGAATCATAGTGGAAGTCAACACATTCCTCAACCTGGAGAGAATTTGGTTGGAAAAATTGTCACTAGATTTTTTTCCCTCCCCCCTGAGCAGACGAGATATCAAAGCAAAAATGCAATCTGCTGGAGAATGTGCGGCTCGAATGAAGCCAATCCTAGCCATATATTCTGGGAATGCTCTAAAGTTCAGAAATATTGGCAAGAAGTCCATACGAGTTTAGAGAGTATAATCATGGAACCCATCCCATTTAGTTTTTTAACTGTCTATACTTTCGTCTTAAAAATCTTAAATCTGAAGACAAATCTGATAAATATTTAATGAGAATTCTGTTGATAGCTTGCAATAAAGCTATAACCAGAAAATGGTTGCCACCTGAAACACCGGAAATTAACAAATTGTGTGCGAAATTTACTCAATGGAGAGGTTAACGATGAATCTTCGGCTACAGTCTATGGGGAAAATAGATTCTCCCACTAAGACCAGACCTAGTATAGAAATTATCAAAGTATAGAAATTATCAAAATGTTTAAGAAAAGTAGGGAAGTCATATTGAATAAATAGAGATACGAAGGATATAAGGAATGAAAGAAATAATGGTAGGAATAATAATAAAAAGAAATACCCATATTGGGAATGAGAGTACCTCTGGTGTGTTGGCTGGCATTACGTTGCAACATACTATATTGTTACAATGGATGTCTTTTATGTCCTTTTTTTCCTCTTACAATTTTGGATACTACTATTATGTATGGAAGCTTGTTTCCACCATAGAATGAAAAAAAAAAAAGCGACTAATATAATAATTGCAACTTTTTATCTCGCAATTCTGACTTTATTTCTCACAATTGCGATATAAAGTCAGAATTGCATGATATAAAATCAGAATTGATTGATATAAAGTCACAATTGCGTTTTAAAGTCAGAAATACATGATTTAAAGTCGCAATTGTGTGTTGTAAAGTCAGAATTGTGAGATTTAAACTATTCTGGGTGGGTTTAGTCTTTTTTGCCCCTTAGAATTGGCCTGATAACTCGCAATTGTGAGTTAATATCTCACAATTCTGAGAAAAGATGTCAGAATATCGAGATGTAAACTCGCAATTGTGAGAAAAAAAGTTGCACTTCTGTCTTTTTTTTTCTCACAATTGAGACTATTTCTCAGAATTCTGACTTTATATCTCGCAATTGTGAGATAAAAAGTCGCAAATATATATATATTTTTTTTTATTCAGTGGCGGAAACAAGCTTCCATAATTGTGGATGTAATATCGGTTTCAAAAAAATTGTTTTGCTGTTTTTTTTTTTCTTTCAGCCAATATACCCAATTGTTGAATGTCTTTACTAAGATTTCAGGTATCATCCAAACGTAAGGAAATGTTATAATTACTTTTTTAATCACATTCTTGGAGATAATTAGCAATAAATGTTAAACAGTTCACGTTTCTGAACCACTGATCAAGTTCTGGAAAATTCCTGTTTAATGTTTGGAACCGACAAAACTGGATGCACTTCTGTAGAGTGAGCCCCTTGAATATTCTAAAAAAAATAATAATAATAATTTGCTTTTAAATCTGAAACACCCCCAAATGACTTTCAACAACAACTCCTCTACATCAGAGAAATGTTTTTTATCCCATATCCCATATATAAATACCGATGGATCGTAATCAGAGGACCATATAACATCTGCGTTATTGGTCAACCATCAAAAAAGGAAGACTCCATCCCTAAACAGCATTTTTACAGCAGCTGCAAATGCTACCAATTTGACATTGGACTACATAAAGATTATGCAACAGACAAATTTGCTTATAATTACAGACTTTGAATCTGTAATTATAAGAGAATGTCTCTGTAAAAATTGAGCTGTCGCGTCTCTAAGCAATGTCATCCCGTAAAAATGATCACCCGGCACTTGTAATGATTATTTATAAACTGCTTGAACTAGAGGGGCATCAATTTAATATCTGCGTTACTGGGTACCTG